CAGCAGGAACTACCTTGCCCTTGGAGACACACCCCAACAGTTAGGGACTTCAACACCAAAGGGATATGGAGATCAGAGATCTCACACTCTGGGACACACCTCAGAGGCCTGAAACAATAGAAAGACTTCAAACTCAGGAAACAGATCCTGAAACTACTCTGAAAAATCACACCCAAGGACAAAACCCACAATATCATAGAGAACTCATTCCCTAAGATATGGGCTCAAGACCATTCAGAGGGGTGACATCTTGAGTACAGACACTCAAACACATCAGAGTCCTCATATGAGGGTCACAGACCCTCATACCTGTAAGGAGAAACTTCTAAATAGTTCAGAGATACCATACCCTGCACAGAGACCACAATGGCCAAACAGCTCAGAAAACTCACTAACTGGCATGCACATGCGCACGTGCATGCACACGTGCATACACACACACACACACACACACCCATTTGAAAGCTCAGAGGCCACAACACTGGAACAAACCTCAAATGAGTCAAATAGAGCACACCCTGAGACTGAGACCCCCCAAGAGGAAGAGACTTCATACCTGAAAATATATCCCAAATAAGTAGGAACTCTCAAACCAAAAAAATCTCAGGGGCCACATATTCTAGGACAGTCACCCAAACAGCTCAGTGAACTCACCCTTGTAATGTAGGCCAGAAAAAGCTCAGAACACTTGAATCCAGGATTCGGAAACTCTTCTGAGACTTAGGGTATAGATCCCAAAATATAATTCAGAGAATTAATATGCTGGATGCAGAGCATCAAATAATTCAGAGACCTCAAATCGTAGGACATACACACCCAAACAGATCAGGAACCAGTGTTTGTATCCTGGACATACACCAACAAACAGGTCGGGGACCTCACACTCCGGGACACATACAAAAGAACAGCTCAGAGAATTCAAATTCCAGGAAATACACACCCTAAAAGAACAGACCTCACATCCTATGACATACACACAAACATATCAAAAACCACCCAAGCTGAGATACACACCCACAAATATTTCAGAGAAATAGCATCCAGGGACACATACCTACAAACAGATCATAGACCTCAATCCCTGTGGCATATGCACATAAAAATATCAGATACCTCACGTGCTAGAACATACTCCCACAAACAGATCAGAGCACCTACGTCCTGGGAAATAAACCAACGAATGGATCAGGGACCCCACATATTGAGACCTACACCCACAAAGAGACCAGAGCCACAGATGGATTGGAGACCACACAGTGTTGACAAACATACAAGAACAGACTGTCACAGACTGAGATATATAGCCACAAGAGATCAGACATCTCACATCCTGATGTACATCCACAAACAAATCACACCCTGGGCATATACCCGTAGATAGCAGAACTTACAAGCTGGAAATACAACTAA